CGGAGTAGAATTCAAGCCCCGATTACAGAGGGGAAGCACAGCCCCATCCTGCCTGCACCGCAGGACCCACGGACCCCAGAGCACAGCCCCATCCTGCCTGCGCACTGCCAGACCCATGCACCGGCCGCAAGAGAGGCATGAAGGGGGAGCAGGCAGCCAAGCCCTGCAGTGCAGCAACGCAACGCAAGGAACCCGAGGCACGGTCGGCCATCACCGCAATGCCTCCATGGCATGAACCCTCTCTGCCAGGCTGGGTGCTCTGCTTGTACCACCGTGGTGATCCCCAGCTCACCAGCCTCCCGAGAGCAACTTCTACCCACAGCCAGAAACCTGCCCTATCCTTCTCATACCCCCCACTGCCCCCACCTCCATCCCCCCTCCCCACACTAGCCCGAGACAAAAGATGAGGGCCTTGAGTCGCCCCCAAGCCACAACACTCCCCGCCGGCAGCTGCCCCTCCTTACCCAAGGACAGGGTGCTGGGATAGATCATTCCAATTTCATGAGCTCCACGTCAAAAATTAGAGTGGCGTTTGGTGGGATGATCCCTGGGTGGCCAGTAGAGCCATAGGCGTAATCTGGGGAGATGGTCATCTTTGCCCGCTGACCAACGCTCATCTGGGGGCAGGGAAAGAAACACAGGGATGTCAGGAGATGGGCACAATCACCAAGTGACAGCAAGAGGGACACAGACCTGTCCTCACTCCTTTCCCTGCACTGAGCAAGAGCAAGGACCCAGGCTGGATAAACCGGAGGGGACAGAAGAGGAATGGGAAGAACATCAGAAGAGAAAGGCAGGCAGCACGGGCTGGAGAAGAAGCAGGGCTTGAGATGTCCTTCACACAAGCGAAGGCAGGGAATGCCACGCCATTCCCTACAGCCACCGGCACCCTTGTGCCGCGCTGCCTCGCGTCCCCAGCGGCACACGGAGCTGGCCGCAGTCGTGCACGCAGGAGCTGAAGCTGTGCTGTGCCCATCAGCCCTCCCTCCGCGTGGGCTTTGCAGCCCGGGAGCCATCTCCACTTTGGAGCAGGAGGCTTGAGTGCTCCCCGCCGCGTTCGTTCAGAGCTGACTCAGTAGAGAAATGTCACCGCTGAGTCACCAACGTGCTGTAGGTGTTCCTGGGGCCCGGCCCTGCTCCATTCCTGCCATCTGGCAGGTGGCAATGCAGAAGGTGATATTCACACCCACACCTCCCAGCGCTGTGGGGGCGGAGGGGTGGAAAACACAGGGGAATAGAATAAAAAAAAAAAAAAATAAGAGAACAAGCTGCACACAGTGATTTCTGCCCACGCTGCAGCTCCCCAGGCGCACAGCTCTGCACAGCCCTGCAAGGGAGACCGCGAGGCGGAGAAGCACCGGGCACCTGAGCGACTCCTTCCTCCCAGCCGCGGATCACCTCCTGCTTGCCCATCACGAACTTGAACGGCTTGTTCCTGTCGCGGGAGGAATCAAACTTCTTCCCATCCTCCAGCATACCTGGGGAGAGAGGGAGGGAGACGATGGTGACACAGGGACAGCGCCACACACACCTGCATGAAACAGGCTGTGACCTGGCAGCCTGAGCGGGTGACAGTCACCCCTGGGAAAGCTCACATGGCCCTGAGTCAGAGATGTTTCTCAGCTCAGCCTCCTTTCCCCTGGGGAAACACCTGCACGGGGCGGCCTGGAGGGGAAAAACCCCCACCAGCACCCCCCAGGGCATCATCCAGCCTGGCAGGAGCAGCCCTGGGGCAGGGCAGGATTGTTCCTGCTCCTGGCTGCTTCGACCCAGAGAGAAGCGCTCCTCTGGGCTGGGACCGAGGACAGACGAGGGGAGCAGATGGAGGGCCGGGGGGGAACCTTCCCCACCTCACAGCACCGCTGCCAGCCGTTTTGCGGGCAGCAGGATCAGGCATGGCGCTTCCCATCCCACCAGCAACACACCTCCCGCTCCTCACCACAGGCAGGCTTCCATCCTTGGGCACCCAAGACAGACTTAGGGCTCCGGTGCCCCATCTCGGCTGCTGCCGGCCTCCAGCCCTCCCCGTGTCCAGCTGCATCCTGCTGGTCTTCAGCCAAATCACTCCTGTACCCAGGAATGACGACGGGGAGAGGCAGCACCAAGCGCTGAACACGCATGCCCAGGGCAGCCCCCATTCCCCCGGCACACGTTGCATGGTGAGGGCTGAGTGAGGCTGATATCCCCAGGACTAAATATAACTCCCCAACACGAGCAAAGGAGGAATTTCCTCCCCTCCCTTGCTCCCTGCCTGACCTTCTTGGGGAATCTCAGAGCTGGAGCTGCCTTATACGAGCAGCAACTCCGCTGGCCAGTGGAGTTGCTGCTCCTATAAGGCAGCTCTGGTTCCACATTAACAGAGCCAGCACCACATGCAGTAAGTAAGAGCGATTATAATAAACTCTCCTGCAAATGCTCCTCACTTCACTGCCCAAAAACCTGTTTTCTTGGCTGGAAACAGCTCTATAGTCTTGCAAAACCAAACTTGACCAGCAATGCATGGGGTAGAGTGATTTCCCTTCACCAGGGCACTGCCCACGGGCAAGAGAAAACGCATCTGTGCAAGAGATGAGCCAGGGCATCTCAGCCCCTGTTCGGAACGTGACGGCAGCCACAGCGAATGGCACGCAGACACGAGCAGTCGTGGTGACACGAGGCACTGAACAGAAAGAAAGGAATGGGAAAAACTACATCACCTTTGCAGGGGCAACGAGCACCGAAACCTCTGGGCTGCAGGAAGATGCAGGGGGTAGGGGCCAGCAGCCCCACGTTTCAGTCAGGGAGTGGAATTAAGCTTTTAATTTCACAGAAAGGAAAAATCCCCCCTCCAGGGCTCTGAGCATCAGCACCAGCTCAGCTGGTCAGGCCGCAGCCCTGGACTTTGGAATAGTAAATCTGGAGTTTTCTCGTTTCCTCCTTCCAGGATAAACCTCTTGTCGTGGAACCTGCTTCCAGCTCCGTCTGGCACTGCTCCCCGCTCCTGTCCGCTGGCCTTCCTCCCGCCCGGCGGGGACGCTGGCAGCAGGAACACAGGGCAGGCTGTGCCGGCTGGCACAGGCAGCGCCACTTGGCCGTGACACGAGCTGACCCTGAGCTCAGCTCTGAGCCCTCGGGCATCACAACGAGCCGGGGTGGTTGCAGAAGGACAGAGGGGAGAGCTCGTGCCTGCCACCCTTCTCCCTGGGCACCCGCAGAGGACAAAACCCAGGGGCCATGCAGCACAACCCCCCTGCTTGTCACGGCAAACAGGGACCTGTGGAATGCTTGCGGGGCACCCGCTGCCTGCAGAAGCGCATCCCGTTCAATGCCCCAGCCAGGGGAACATAACAGCACCATCAGCGGCACAAGAGACGCTGCAGACCTCATGAAGGAGCAGACGGCACTGCCCGCGCCCCCGAGCTCACCTGTCCGAATCCAGCCCTGGGGAAGCGTTTTGGAGCAGGCAGCACCCTGGCTGCAGGGGAGAGGGGTTAACGGACTAAGCTGGTTGCAGCAGCCCAGGGGGATCAATCACTCGGGCTGCCCCCGGCCCAGGAAGGTGCAGGTCGCACACGGGAGCTCATCCCTGCTCCCCGGCACGGGGCTGCCACGCTCCCCCCACCAAACCAGCGGGGAAAACAAAGAGGCTCCGATGCTTCGGAGACAGCATCTTCATCTCAGGCACTTCCGCTGCCCGCGAGGCTCCCAGGAGATTTCTCCAGCCCTGGACAAGTATGAGCAACCATTTCGTCATCCCTGCCATCCCCGAGCAAGGAGATAACAAGATCTTAAAGCTATTACAGAGGCAAAGCATCCCCTGGCAGGAACAGTTGCCCCACCAGAGCCCCAGGAGCAGCAGCCAGCCCCCGGCACACCCTGGCTCGCCGCAGCCCCCGGCAGGGCTCCTTGCTTGCCACCACCAGTCCCGCGAGGAGGGCAGAGCCCACGGAGGTGGGTTACGGAGACCCACCTGCCCCAGCTCCCACACCGAAAGATTCGACCCTCCCAGAGATCTCAGCTGGGCTATACGGACACCGGGGGGGGTGTCTCGGGGGAACCACAGCGAGGAAGAGCACGAAGCCCTGTGGCCGGGGCTGCAGCAGTCGCGGGACGGAGCAGGGGGCTCTGGAGAGCAGCCCCAGCTCCGGACGGGGAGGCAGCACGGGCCCCCCCGGTCGCTGCCACACCTGGCAGCCACCAA